GTAAACGCTTGAACTCCACGTGCAATGCGAATGTTTATATGCGGCAAATGGAGCTCAAAAAAATGAAACCTCTGCTGGATACGGAACCGGAGTCCAACGATAATGTGAATGAAAAAAAGCCAGCGAAGCGACGTAACCCATTCAACACGCAACGCTTAAAGGAAGAAAAGGAGCGCAGGCAAAAGAAGCGAGCTCGCCTCATTGTGCGCAACATCAGCTACAAATCAACGGACGAAACGCTGCGCGAATATTTCGGACAATGGGGCACTCTGGAAGATGTACACATCCTAAAACGTGGTGATGGAAAACTAGTTGGTTGCGCATTTGTGCAATATGAGACCGTCAATCAGGCAACCAAGGCTATACTGAAATCCAATGGAAAGGAACTGCTGGGACGTAAGATTTTCGTCGATTGGGCCATTGGCAAGGATGAATATGCAGCCAAGCACCAGAAAGATGAACCCGAGGATAAGAAACCCAAGTTGGAGGTAAAGGAAGAGAATGAAAATGGAACTGAGACTGTGGGTAAAAAGGTCTCGGAGAAAGCCGACGAAGAGGAGGATGAAGAGCTGAGTGAGAACGAAGGCGAAGAAGATTCCGGTAATGATGATGGCAGTGATGATGATGACAATGATGATGATGATGACGATGATGGCAATGATGATGAAGGCAATGGTGATGATGATGATGAAGATGAAAAGAAAGACAAAAAGGACTTGAAATCAAAACTGGATCACGTGAAGCGGGAGAAAACCATTTCCAATGATGTGCAAGAAGGCTGCACAGTCTTCATCAAGAACGTGCCCTTTGATGCCGAAGATGCGGATTTGCGTAAAGTGTGCCGCAAATTCGGTGTAGTGCAGTATGCAATCATTAATCGGCAAGCAGTTTCCGGGCATTCCAAAGGCACAGCCTTTGTCAAATTCAAGGCCAAGGAGTCGGCCGATCTCTGTCTGCAGGCTGGCACCGAGTTTAAGTTAATGGATGAGGTGCTGGATCCACATCCGGCGCTAAGTCGTGATGAAATTAAAGCCAAAAAAGCCGAAAGCTCTAAAGAGGAGACCAAGGATTCGCGTAATCTGTATCTGGCCAGAGAGGGTCTGATCATGGCCAATTCAAAGGCAGCCGAAGGAGTTTCCGCCTCCGACATGGCCAAGCGACACGAACTGGAGCAGGTGAAGACGCAGGTGCTCAAGAACTTGAATCGGTAGGTTATAAAAATGCAATATAATTGGGAATATTCTTTAATTACTTTAATTGCTTCCAGTTTCGTTTCACGTAATCGCCTATCCATACACAATCTGCCCCTGAACTATGACAACGAGAAGCTCAAGCAGATGGCTCTCACCTATACGGGGTTTCGTCCACACGAGTGCCGTGTGATGCGTGACCATAAGATTACGCCAGAGCATCCAAATGGCAAATCCAAGGGCTTCGGCTTCCTCTCCTTCGACACCCATCAGCGAGCTCTGGCTGCGCTACGTAAACTAAATAACAACCCCAAAATCTTTGGCACGCAACACGTAAGTAAATCTCTCTCTCTCTCTCTCTCTTTCTGTTGCACTCCCTGAGATTTATTCAACCTTGTCCATATCTTGCAGCGTCCCATTGTCGCGTTTAGCATTGAGGATCGAGCGGTGCACAAGATCAAGGAGAAACGCACTGAGCGGTCCAAGCTAAATAATCCTACATACAAATCGAAGCTGGAACAGCGAAAGGAGCAGCGGGCGCTCAAGCGGAAGGGTGCAAAGCCAACTCCAAAGATCACAGGGCCACAGGACGATAACAAGGCGAAACTGCAGAAACACATCAAGAAACTGGAGGCGAGTCGAGCAGCCAAGGCAGAGGGCAAACAGCAGCAAAAACAGAAAAAGGTCAGCGATGTGGAGGGCGACTATGTAGGCACTGCTGCCAAGCCGGGCACCTCCCTTCGCATGCGCTCCAAAAAGAAGATCATGGAGCAGGCGCAAGAGCATATGAAACGCGTGAAGACCGAGAAACGGAAACAGAAGAACAAAAAGATTCGAGAATCACATTTGGCGGAACGCAAGGCCAACAATCGACCTAAACAAGGACGGAAAAAGGAAAAGGACGAGCTACGACCTCTGATCAACAAATACAAAAACATGATCAGTGGCAATGAAGGCGGCGGAGGTGTGACAGACGGCAAAGTGAAGAAACCCAAGCGTACCAAATGGTATACGGATTAGTTACTAGAGATGATTCTGTTAGTGTAAATAAGATCTATTAAATGTTTAGGAGTGAAACAGCAATTGAAGCCATGAGTGAGATGGAAACGTTTGATGCTAAATAAATTTTAAATTCACTGATTATTAATAACGAAGATCTTTTCAATTGATTCGGGATTAGACTTGTTTAGAATGGAATAGCCAATCTAATCTTCATCTAGAATTAAGGAAGGCGATGATAGACGCTCCAACTACAAGATTTAAACAGCATTTCAGACGATAGTAAAACTGCCTCTATTACATATATAAAGACTAAAAAGTTTGCAACGGAAATACTTGTTGAATCCTTGATAATCCAAGCTGCACCAGACGAGCAGACTAGTTCACACAAATCAAATTCGCTGATTAACAAAAATGCGTTGGCTTACTAATGGAAACAAGATTTTATGCATGTTGTAAACTACAAGTTTGGCCAATGGCCCGCCCTAATAATTTGACTAAGCCACAACGTTTATTCCAGCCAGTAGAAGCGCGAACCGTATTTGGCTGGTGGAGTTGGATAATCCTCTGGCAGGCCGGGCGTAGCGTCGGGATATGATTTGATGGGCTCTTTCTCAGGTGCCTTGCGTTCCGTTTGAATTACCTAAAAAGAAGAAAGCAAATGCCATTAATATTATATTAGAATTGCTATATCAGGATGACTCACCTTGGCACGCGCAAAGTAGCCATAGGAAGGACGGTCCCAGTCAAAGTGGTCCTTTACACACTTATCGAAAACACCCTGAGTCTTGCGGCAGCTGAAAAAAGTCGAGTGTGAGCATGTGTCCATCATCAGTCAATCACAAATCGCTACTTACTGGCTGAAGGCCATGGTGCCGCTGCTCTTGTCCAGGCAAGTGGCATACTGCATGAACTCCTCATGGCAGCTCTTCTTTACCTTGCGAAAGAAGTTTAAGGCGCAGCTGGTGACAGCGCGCCCTTCGCCCAAGCAGGCGCGCGGATCATCCAGCTCTTGGCGACAAAGCATGAACTCCTGAAAAATGAGCGAACAGCAAAATTAAAGAAAACGTAAACAAAAACAATTGTCCCATCAGCTTTTGAGGTTAGGTTATATAACTGAGTCTGGGAGCCGTTTAGCCGGAATATTTACACATTAGCTAGGTGAGCACATCTAATACATGCATTTAGGCATAGCTTTAAGTATGTAATAGTTGCCTCAAAAGTGAAGTATACTCACATTATTGACTCCTTCGCATTGCTTGCCCAAGTGAAAAGAACCAGCACGCAGTGCAGCCGACGACAGATTCAGTTCCTGCACATCAAGCTCTGCCTCTTCGGGTAGTGTTGTTTTGTTTGTAATAACCATTGCGTCCTGGCTGTAATGCCCGTTGCTCTAAAAGTGTAGTAAAGGCGTGTTAATGACAAACAAATGCATTAAATTGTTATTTTTGTTACGTTTTCGAGTCACAAATCTCGTCTCCAGCAAAACAACAGCTGTTCACCGATTAACTATCGATGAGCATAACCGTTTGACGCAAGCGGCGCAAGTAGCTGCGTCGTGCAACTATCGATTCTGTAGCACATCGCGATGAATTTAATATTTTCGAATTTGCATAATTATTTGTAGATAAACTTGTCCTATTCTTTTTTATTATTACAATAATTGCTTTTATAATGCAACTCATATGTTTTGCGCACAAATATGTCAAATTTAAATCATGAAATGTCGCTGGCATAACCGTTTGACAGTTTCGATAATATAGTACAATCGAGTATCAAATTTAAAATAAAAACAAATTTAAAAAAATAAAAAACCATTTCTATGAAAATCTAAATTGCGTAGTCATGAACTCCTTCTTATTGATTCTAATGATATCGCTGATGAGCGTACGTCTCACACTGCAGGCCGCAATCAAAGATGATCCCAAAGGCATTGTAAATTCAAAGAACGACAATGTAAAGACGCTGGATTATAAAAACTCTGTTCAAGAGATTGTCAAAGATCTCATAAGCACCTGGACGTCGCCATTGGTATATCTAAAGAATCGGGGGTACCTAAGGGGACCTCAGATTGGCTTTGATATGCTATTATCGAACGACATGAACGATTCGAAGGATGTCAAGAAGAACGTGGAACGCGTGGCTCGGAGCTCAGCTGATGATGAGGAAACGCCAAATGACCTGGGCCACCTGTTCCGCACGCTCTTCTCAACCAGCGACGATGTCGATGTATCCAATCAAATCAAATCCAAGATGGGCGTGCCGTGGGACATGAAGGCTCTCAAGACGACCGTGCGAAACGAAGTATCCCGATTCTACGAAAAGTTCTACGACAAACACAACAAACAGGCGGTGAGCAAAGAGGATGGTGAAATAGAGACGGAAATAGACAGAGAGGTCGCTCATCTATATCCATCGGTCGTAGACGGCGAAAAGGAAAAGGAGAGCGCGAACGAGAAGGAGAAGGATACGGAGAAGGAGAAGAAGGCGATTAGCAGCGTGAAAACTGCTTTGAAGCAGCCAAAGGTGAGCCAAGGATTGGCCAAACTACTAACCGTTCGAGTCAAGCCTTTGGTGCAGCAGCAGCAGCAGCAGGAGCAGCTAAAGGAACAAAAAGCACCGAATCCATCCACATAGAGTTCATGTTTAACTGCTTTAATAATTGATTTGGTTTCTGTTTATATATACACACATGTATTTTTTCGATTTATTTGAAATTTGAATTTCAATTTGTTATTTGACGAGCCCTTCAAAACCAGACGAGCGAGCGAGAGAGAGAGAGAGAGAGGGAGAGCAATCCATGCAAATCTAATTGAATTGGTCATTGAATTAATTAAAGCATTAACAGCGATTAATTAAAACTCGTTTGGGCCGAAACCGAAAACCGGAGCGCGGCTATAAATAGCCGCTGCCCTGCTGCTATTCGAGCAAAAAAGAAAACAAATATCAAAAATCATGTTGAATCATGTGAGTAACGAGAATTGATTTGATATCGGTTAAGAGAACTGACTTTGCATATCTAGAAATTTCTCCTCCTGCTGGTGGTGCTCCTGTGCGCCAGCTTCAGCTTCACTCATGCCGATGTGAAGGAGCTGGAGCCGGTGCCGATTAAGCACGTCAATCAGCAGAATCTGGATGGCGCTGGCCAATACAATCACGAGATTGAGGTGAATAATGGCATCAGGGCATCGGCCAAGGGCAACGTGAACAGCGTCCAAGGCGAATACTTTCTGCCCGGCGAGGAGGGACCCATACGTGTGACCTATACAGCCGATGCCACTGGCTTTCATCCACATATTAATTAAACTCGTCTTGATGCAACTCGTTTACCCAAAAAAAAAAAAAAAAAAAATAAATAAATAAAATAAAATAAAATAAAAATAAAAATGAACTCAAAATTCAACTGAAAACGAAATGTGATACAGTTAAATGGGACAGGGAGCGGGGCAGGCAATTGTAATTTATGCGGCTCATTACATTTCAATTTTAATAAAACAGATCAGCTTAATATATATTTATGTATTTACGTATATATCAACGGATTTGCACAACAATTTTGCTGGGGCTATAAAAGCCTTTGGCTGAGCGCAGTTCGAGCAGCAATTGAAACCCAAATATCAACATGCACAAATATGTAAGTACATTAAACACCTCAGCGGCTGTCCAACTCTTACAACTGTACTCGCCTGTACTTAACTGCCACGCCCCCTGTCGGACAGCTCTTCCTGATTGTCGCCCTGCTGTTTGCCGTCAGCTCCGCCGTGGATGACGATGCCCACGCCAAGGCGAAGGAGGTGCATAAGGATGACGGCCACGGCAACTTTGCTTATAGCTATGACATAACGAACGGCATCGGCGCCCAGGAGGTTGGCGACGCTCATAATAATGTCCAGGGCCAATATCACTTTACCTCCAAGGAGGGCGTGCCCATTCAGGTGTCCTACACAGCCGACGAGAACGGATATCATCCACATGGCGACTCGCTGCCCACGCCGCCGCCCACACCCGAAGCCATACTCAAGGCGCTGGCCTACATCGAGGCGCATCCGCCCAAGGAGGAGCAGAAGGTGCGCCCACGCCCGCAGCCAAAACACGGCAGACATTAGGCATTAGCCACTCGCCATGTCGCTCTGTCCCACACACACACACACACACACACACACACACACACACTCAACGATATTTCAATTGCAATTGGTTGCGTCCTTTCATCAGTTGGACATAAAAATAAAACTTTACGACGCAAGATTTTCCACAAATTTCTATCCAAAGTGGGGGCTGTGGCGCGGCACGGCACGTGGCCCAGTCCCAACTCTTTCGCCAGGTCCATAAAATACGCATTGTCATGTTGCGCTGGGTGGGTGGAGCAGACGATAGCCGGAAGGGATGGCCATTGTAAATGTTATATTTAAATGCGACGAGTCCATTGTTCGATCTGAATGGAAGCCATTCGAAAACATGTTCCGGAAACGACAACTTAATGGAATATCTAAAAGTCCATTCACAGACCAAAGTCATTTCAATGGACCATACAGCTCATTCAGATCCTGGCAATTGCCATGCCAGATCGGCACTTGAAAGCACTTCAATTCAAATTCGAAATTCATGTAACTAGACAGAACTTAATGGCGTAGCAATCGGCCTGACTAGGACGTTCGAGATCCTCCAGGATTCCTGGATTTCCTTTTCAATTTTTTGCCCATAGAATATATATTGAGTTTCTTATATCCTATAGTAAAGCTACCGATCAAGTTTGTTAAGGATCACTGCTTGTTCTTTAAGCATTCCATACACCTTATTTATAGGGCACGTCCTTAACTATTAAAGAGGTAGGAAGTGAATAACTCTGAGCCCGCTAGACTTTTCCAACTTAAGAACTCCTATAGAAAAGATCATTTTATAGAACTTATAGCTAAGTCAGCTGCTGGTTTTTCATGCTCCTTGCCTGGGAAATACCCCATTCACTTCGGATCATTAAAGTAAGTAAATAGCTTGTTGATAGACTTACCCACCTGGATTCCTCAAGTAAAATCTGTACATCTCAATTATAACACTCATTATATTGTTACACCTTTGTCACCTTTCTTGACATCTCAGTTAACATTTCAAAATGACAGCACGGAATTTAGTTTACTTTAAATGCGAAAAACAATTAATATACATATAACAAAAGCTGTTCTATAGCTTGGCAGGATTGCGCGCCAGCTCCATGTCCTGCGATGTGGGGTTCACCAGCTTGCGCACATCATTGAATTTTGGATTGTTCTTATCGCGAACCAGATCAAAGATTACGCTCTCGCTGGTGGTGATAATGCAGCCCGCCTGCCTCAGGCGCTCCAGAGCCAAATCGCGATCCTGCTTGAGGCGCGAGCAACAGCAATCGGCAACAATGTAGACATTGATGTCCTGCTCCCGCAGATCGATTGCTGTTTGCTCTATGCATATGTGAGACTAAAAGAGGCAGGAGATTCAGTTACTCTTCGACAATAGCAGTTCATAGTAACTACCTCCAGTCCATAGAGCACCACATCCTGTGGCTTTTCGCCAAAGATGTCCTTGATGACGCTCTTCACCTGCGGCGTCATCATGCTAAAGTAGGTCTTGCTCATCACAGCCTTTGCATGGGATATATCCATCTGGGCCACCGTTTTGCCCAGCTTCTCGGGATAGTGTTCCGTTACAACCAAAGGCACATCCAAAACTTTGCCCGCCTTTGTCTGCAAAAACAATCGATTATCTATAACGCATTTGGTTACAAAGTTCACAACTTACCAGCTTATCTACGTTCTTGACCATATTGTCGAAGAGCGGCATGCTGGGCCGAAATTTCTCCTGTATATCGCAGAGCAGAAACAAAGTCTTCTTTGGATTCAGGTGGCAGCGTCTGAAGGCCATTTTTGTTGCTGTCGTTAAAGTAAAAAAAAAGTATTGATTGAGCACAAGAAAATTAGATAATCAACCATATGTATTTATATTTACTTGACTATTTTTTTTCCTTATCAATTAAGAATCCAATTGGTTTGAGTTAGCGAGAACAAAGTTTCTTACTTAGCGATGGTCTAATTAGCACAGAACAGCTGTTGCTCCCAAGCGAAACGGTTAAGCAATATCGATAGCAACACAATATTTTGGCGAGAGCGTTGCCACACCAATAATGAAAGCTGCATATGTTGATCACTTTCTGCGATATTCATCGATGATTACCGCCTGAAACGGTCAACAATTTGAATTTTGCAATATATTATTATATATGCAATAGATATATTTATATTTGAATATCAGTTTAATGGAATTCTGATTAAGAATGAATTTCCCATTTGTAAGTAACTTTGTTATTAATACTAATATTAGCTGTAACGCTTATAGCGTCGCCAAACGGCTATACCCACACCTTTTAACGATGATTATAACAGTTGATTATAAAAAACGTTAATTCTCAAACCTAATTTAAGTAGCTTTCAATTTAAATGGATTAGAAAGCACTTAAGCAACAGTCGTTAATTAAAAGCAACAGTGTCGAGGGCCCGTGGGCTCATTCCCCCCTCAAAAAGCAAAGCAAACAGCCAATAGGCATAAAGTCAACATTTATCAACTGCTGCCGACTAATCTCAAATCCCTGGCCCACTAGCTGCCATTTTGTGGCACTCAACTAGGGTCTTGAGCACTACCAAACCCCACGTGGCAATTAAACTAAATTGTGTGGACCCGCCCAGACAAAACTGAGCTCACACCAACCAACACACACACACACACAGGTAACAGATTTATATTCATAAGCTAGGCCCCAAAACAGGCCAACAGCTGTGGGGGTTTGTAGATAAAGAGAGAGAGAGAGAGAGACAGAGAGAGTGAGAGAGCTTTGGCTGCTGCGGTGTGCTCCGCTGTGCTGTGCTGGCATTTATAATTGAATTCCTTAATGCGGGCGTCCAGCCCCGCCCATCGCATAGCATTATAGTAATGAAGCCACAGTCGATTTCAATAACGCAATCAAATGCGTGCAATTTCCAAAAAACCACAACATCCAATGCCAAAGCGAACCAAAATGTCCAATTGACCAAAGTCCAATGCCGCGCGCATTGTTTGCAGCCAAGCTAAAGTGTGTTATATTCTCCACTCTTCTCTCATTTTTTTTTTTTTTTTTTTTTTACCAGCTTTCGCATGCCTGACACGTAGTTTTCTATGGCCGAGCACTGGCTGGACCAACGCCAATGTCTTGATAATGGAATGGCAATGGCAGCCCTTACTCTCCATTTACTGCGGGCTCCCCTGCCCCAGGCTCCACTGTCGCATGCATATTTCAGCAATTTACGCTACCTTTTTGCCCCCTTTTTCTCGGCGTTAACCATCCAGGAGCAGAGTTCGCAACAGTCCACGCTATGCTCTGCGTACATATTTTATGAGCCTCCAAAGTTGCGGGCGCTGCAATTTAAAAAAAAAAAAAAAAAAAAAAAAAGGAAAGAGAAACGAAACAGAAGCTGAGTGTACCACTCAAAATCGTGTAAACCAAGGTTCCTTTTTCGGGTTTTTGGCCAAGTTTTAACTGGACTTCGTTATGGACACTTGACTTTTGCTGCTGCGTGGGCATTTTATACAATGCTCTCCAAATGGCAAATGGCTACGGTGGGACTGCACTATGATAGACTACTTGCTGGATATTTCACTCTCTCTCCTTCCCTCTCTCTCCCTCTTTCTCTGACTACCTCTTTCTGGATAATCCGTTTACTGAAAGTAAAAATGCTTCGATAAGTTTATAGGATTTAATGTCTATAAATACTATTAAACTTAAATAATTCTCTTGGAATACAGTCTGACTGTAGTATGACGTACTGACTAGCATTTTTATAACCTGAAAAAATGGAATGCTAAATTCTAAAAGCGCTTTTGGACAAAACGACGAATTGGCATTATTCATTGAAATTTTCTTCAAGCTTTCGATGCCATTTCGGAAACTTGTATTGAAAATACTATATATACAGAAAATACTATATGTTCAGAAAACTTGTATACTACCAAGAATACACAAATTTGATTGCTCAAACTTAGCACAAATTTTCTAAGTCAAAATTTTGAAAAGTTATCGATAACAGTTTACTGATTCTTATATTTATATACTAAAGACTTATAAAAATAAATAAATAATGCTTTTATAAAGAAGGATGAGCCATCTATTTCTATAAAGAATGCTGTCATTTTCTTTATTTATTAAAGTTGTGCATAATTTATCGATAACAAACTTGTAACAACAATTTGTAATAAACTGAAACCTATTAAACTAATTTTCTTGCTCATTTCACTCACGTTCATGCACACGTTCATTATAGCCAAGCTAAGCTGTATCATACTACGCGCAGCCAATACGCATTTCGATAGATATTTGGCTATATACATGCATGTATGTGTGTGCCTCTGTGTATCTGTATTCATAGCGCTATGCGCTAGTCGCAGCCATTTTGGCTTTTCAATTTCAACGGCATTTTCGCTTGAACGAGCATCGGGCGAAATTTGCATTTTTTATTTGGTTTTATTGTGAGACGGTTGGGCTATTTTTAGTCAGCTAAGTCTGCCAAGAGACAGGTGATAATGCCAATAATAAGTAGACCCAATTGCCAGAGCAAATTTGCCAAATAAAAGAAGAAGAAAAAGTAAGCTGAAACTTAAACTAAAACAGAAACAGCCACGAGCTATAGAAGTTGAGTGCCAAATGGCAACAACAATTCATTTTGTGGCACAAATTTTCCGAAATTTCCCTTTTTGGCTTTTGGAAAAACAATTTGCGTAAAGTCACAAAATGTTTGTCTGCCAGACAGCCAAAACACACGCACATATGTTAAGTATCTCCCACTCTCTCTCTCTCTGTCTCTCTCGTTCTATCTCCCTCCTCTCTCTCTCCCTCTCTTGGTATTTTTATGTGATTTCTTCAGTCAGTCGAACTTTTCGAGATGAAAACTGGGGAGCGCAACTCTCTTGAGCAGCTAAAAAGGGGGCGTAAAGGGAGTTCAAATGGAAATTGTTATAGCATTTATAGTATTCAAGTGCCTCAGAGTGTGCCTGTGTGCGTGTGTGTGTGTGTGTATTTTGTTGCAATTTATTCAATGAAATGAAAATGCGACTCAATTGTAGTTTATTTTGTAGTAATTCTTGATTGCACAATAAGCAAAAGTCATTTAATTTCGATTGCGTTCGTTCAGCATTTTCATTTCATTTTCATTTTTGCATTTTAGCATTTTAGCATTCTAGCATTTTCCTAT